GGGCTTTCCCGTTACTTTCCTGACAGAACAGGGCCGGGGAGCGGCGTCCCGCTCCCTTGCCGGGCGGGGGAAGGTCACGGGTGTCGGCGGAGGCCGAGCGAGGGCGGGTGCGGCCGGTGATGGCGGCGGGAGGCCGGGGAGGGGAAGGGAGGGAAGCGGAGTTCTCCTCCGAGAAAGCCCTCTCGTGCTCCGGGCTGTGCCGGGGTGTCTGTGGGGCGAGGGCTGGGTGCGTTTGTTGTTCAGTGATTTTACACCACTGTGGTTTTCTTTATTTCCCCTTTAGGTCATTTTTCTTCACGGATTGGGAGATACCGGGTGTGTATTCTTATCTGTCACATACTCAATAGTTATTATAGCTTCAAACCTGTGTGTTTTCAAGATGCGAGCAGTTAAAAGTTCTTTAAGTTTCTTGTTTTGCCCTTAATTGAGTGCAGCGGCTAACACCAGATGAAACTTCATATATGCTGGAGTGATGGAGTCAACTATTTAACTTAAAATTTCCTGTCATAAGTCCTCAAAAGCCTTTTCTTCTCACTTTTCAGTCACTTACCTAACTTGGTCTGAATGGGACCCCTCTTTTTTTCTTGAATTAAACTTGGTGGAAAAAGAAGTCTGTGGCAATTTCTGATCTTTTGCTTTCCTGAGAGTGGGTTCTAAAATTTCCCGTCATAAGTCCTCAAAAGCCTTTTCTTTCTTTTCAGTCACTTACCTAACTTGGTCTGAATGGGACCCCTCTTTTTTTCTTGAATTAAACTTGGTGGAAAAAGAAGTCTGTGGCAATTTCTGATCTTTTGCTTTCCTGAGAGTGGGTTCTTGATTACTCCTGTGCTTGTCTAAATTTAGAGTTCTTTTTTTTTCTAGACTTGTGGATTGCTTGTCTGCTAGTAGGTGCAGTTACTCCATGGTTTCTTCTTCAATATGTCATACTTACATTAACATCCAGACTTACTTGATTTCTCAAAGAAAACTCCTAACTAGTCACCTAATTCTACAGAGTTCTCTATCTGAAATACGGTCTTCAGACTCCCCCAGAAAATCCCAAAACCAAACAAGCTGCAAAATGCCCTGTTAGTCTTGTTCCTGTTATTTCCACATTTAAGTTGGAAAGAGTAGGGAATTCCTGGGAGGTGTTCTAGGTGTGGTGTCATGTTTCCATTTGAAGCTTGTGTGTGTTGAGATGTAAGCACAAGTTCATTAAAGCCACAGAATTAACAAGTTAGGAGTGTGTTGAAACCTTTTTTTGGTAGAAGACTTTAAATTAATTGGTACTTAGATACTGAAAATAAGTAGCATGAATGCTCTATCGTGTTTCTTTATGGGCAAAATTACATAAGATATAAAGAACTTCATTTTTTGTTACCTGAAACTTGAATGTTGCCTCCAGGTTGAAACTTGCAATGTTTAAATTTAAGACATAAACTTTTCCTGAAGGACTAAGGAAAAGCTCTCAAAATTGAGTTTAGATAACCTCGACTTAGTAAGTTAAAAAAAGTCAAGTCCATACACTTGGCAGTGTTCTACAAGTGGAGATGTTTGCTCTCATTTGTTGTGCTGACCCACCACCTTGTTTGCATTATCACTCTTCCTTTCTGGTGGTAGGACGCAGCTGAGGCAGCAGTACTGTCTGCATCTTGGCACCAAATGCTCAGCAAGTGATTGCAGAATCTTTTGAGTCTTTGGAATTTGAGTCCTTGCAAATCAGGTTGATGTTGGTTTTAGCATGAGGAAAAAACCACTGAGATTTGCTCTTTAATATCAATTGTATTCCTTATACAAATATGGTATTTCCATTTTGGTGATAAAACTAATGCCCAGTCTCAAGCTTGCAAATGCACTGAGCATACTGGAATGTATTCATTACCAGGTCATAACACCTCTGTGGAAATGTGGTGATTTAGCTGTATTTGTTCTGCTAGTCCACTGCAGATCAGATTAGCTAAAACTGCCTTTGAAATACTGCCTTTTTTTTTTTTTCTGAAAAGCTGTACATACTTGGTCATTGGTACATACTTGTCAAAATCTGAACAAAAGGTACAAAGTAGAGGATTGCTCTGAAGAGTTTGTGTGAACGTGTATGCAATGTTGCTTTCCAAATTTGTCAAATTAATCTTTACAGCTGTCCTAAAAAAAGCCCCCAAATTCTTATCTAACTAGTTTTTCTTAGTCGTATTTCTGCTTTAGATTCTTATTTGGTCTTCTGTGGTACTACAAATGTTATGCAAGTAGTATCACCCACAATTTGTTAATGGTATATGTAAAAGTATTGATAGGAAGTAGGCTGAGATACACAACCAGTGTTCGAAATGTCTGTGCTGTCTGTGTGTTCGAAACATCTTTTAACTTTAGGTAGCATACATTAACTTTTCAGATTATATTAAAATTAAAACTAAAGCAAACATGCTTTTATGGCTTGCTGTTAGTCTGATTAGTTCAGCTGTGTCACTGATGAATTTGTTACAGGTGTTTTCTGCTTAGAATCACCTTGCCAGTATCTAGTTTAGTGGGTCAGTTTAGGAATACTGAATAATTTTTAAAAAAGGGAAATACAGGTACTATTGAGTGTTCTGGAAAGCAAAGTGCAGGCACGGGCAGTGGTTCTGCACCAGTTCAGATTTGGGTCGAGCTTGGCTCGTGTCTAGATGAGCCCTGGAGTGAGTCTTTTGGAGCTGTTTATTTAAATTATGCTTTCCAGTTTTCTGGTTTCTAGGAAGCTTGATAACTCATCTCCTGTGCAGATCTTGCATTGTTCTGTGCATTTATAACAGCACGTGCTTGAGATGAGAAAACGACTGCCTGAACCTGAGAGCGTTCCAGCTAAGCCAGAGTTTACAGGTCTGATTGATAAGGTTGGCTCCATGTGGACTTAGAATAGCAAACTGACATCTAAACTTCCACATCAAGAAATTTGGTTCAGAAAAAAAAGCAAAGTTGGCTGTGAAAGAAGCTGCCTTAGCTCTACAGGAGCAGCAAAGCAGCTCTTGGAAGCAGGATACCTGTGTTCATATGTTGTGGTACCCAAGTTAACAATCCCAGCTGAGATACAGAGCAGGCTTTGCCAAGAGCTAAAGTGGTACTTCTGCAGCTGTGCCGTAACGATGATAGTCAAATTCGTGAAGTGTCCCTGGCTGTATACATGCAACAATTACTCAGAGGCAGAACAAACCTTTTCAGTTTAGTACTGTATTCATAGCGTACTGTATTCATAGCATACTGTAGTTGTTGTAAAAATTTTTTAGAATTGTGTGTATATTGATCAAATTCAGCGTATTTCATACTTGCTCTATGCTGTTGCACCAACAGTACAAATAAGAGCTAAGCCAAAACATAAATGCCATGTAATATGTATATTTATTTTTTTTTAACAGGCATGGATGGTCAGAAGCGCTTGCGGGTATCAAAAGCCCCCATGTAAAATACATTTGCCCACATGCGTAAGTTTGTAACTTTTCTCGTTTTATGTTTTTCTGTAGAGTTACTTACTAAGACACTTGCACAGATGACGAAGTCAAATGGGATTTGGGTGTCTCTGCGTTTCATTTTTATATTAAAAAAAACACTCTAAAGGAATGTTGATGCTATTAAATATTCTGTTATCTTTAGGAACTGCTGTGTGATTTACTTTATGGCAAAACTGCATTTTTATTCATATTTTGCTTTTGTTATTAATTCAGACTGAAAACATATTTGCAAAGTTTTATGTGCAAAGCTAGATTGTTTTGACTTTGTTTTCACTGGGCTGTTGTTTGTTGCTTTCCCCCCCCCCCCCAACAGTCATTTGTTAAAAGCTGGAAAGCCAGTCTTAATAAGGAGTAATTTTTTGACCACTAAATATACTTTGTATTAGGTACATGTACTTCTTAAAGTCAGGTGCACATATAGTAGATGAAATTTCCCTGTTACTTCCAGCAAGCTTCAAAGATTCAAAGGATATTCATATTTTCAGAAAATGCAATTTGAGCTGTTTTTGTGCAATTTGAGAAGTGAAATATTTCTGAGCAGGGTCAGGAGTCAGTATATAAAGCGTTAAGATCTATCTAGTATTAATGACAGAAGAACTAATTAAGTATAATCTTAATTTATTTTAATCCAGAATTCAGATTGTCTTTTGCTCCAACAGTCTTGAGAGATGTGGAGCAGGCATGATAGGGAGATAAATAAACAATGCTTTGGTGTATTACTGATTACTGGGCTGTGGTTTATTTATTTACCACATGGCCGTGCTTTGCTGAGCCATTTAAAAAGAGGTTAGCAATGTCTGCTCTTCTCTTTGCTTGCCCTTTGTCTTCTTTCAGTCTTTCCCTGCAGAACTTAAGTGTTCCTCAATTTCAGTAGATTAAAACTGTAGCCAGGTTTGATCCATGTGCTGCATCTGGCTGCTTCCTTAGGTTTGCTGATGCTGCTGTGTAAGGTGCCTTCATCCACTGGGCATATGTATGGATCTGTGATAAATAACTGTTACTTTGAAATAACTCAATGAGATATATATATAAAAATATGTATATGACATATCTGCACTCACACACACATTAAGCAGACCTTTAATGTTTTGCTTGCTCTTCACAGAGAATGGTAATTCAGCCCTGAATATTAAATGTGTTTGGGCTGGCAGGTTTCAAGAGAAATTTATTGAAGAGACGCTGCAAAGTAGCTACTGTTAATTAAGGTTTAAAAGTAATACAGAATAAGGGATATGTAATTTCATGACACAACTGCATCTGCATTATTAAATTTCAGTATATATCTTATGTCAGTGGTGTTCTTTCTCATTTCTAGGCCAGTTATGCCAGTTTCTTTGAACATGAACATGGCTATGCCATCATGGTAAGTATTTGCTCAATTGCAGTTGATTCTAATCAGAAGATATATAAGGGTTTAAACTCATTGTTCTTAATTAAAAGTCATGAACAACTTGACTGTCTGGTTTTAATCACATGTAATATAAAAAGGTTTTTGCTTTCGTTCTGTTCTTGCAAAAGGGCTCTCATGAGTATGCTCTAATTCTCCTTCTGTATCTGTGGTAGTGGTTATTCCTCAGGAGTAATCTACATGTCTTAAAATAGAAAACCCACTTTATTTTACAAGAATAGTCTGTATTGTGGGTGGATTCATAGTCAGCAGTAGTAGAGACTTGGAGTGGGAATATCATTGATATTAATGAGTAATATTTCGTCAGTAGGATATCGAGAAACTGTTCTTTAGAACATGCATTTGTAATAGAGAACAAGAAAAATACGGTAGATTTCAGTGGTCTTAAACCAGTCCTCTTCAGTTTTTTTCCCCTCAAGTAGCTGTTGAGTTTTTTTCCCCTATATTTTTTTCAAATAGCATTTTAATTTTGTATGTGCAACTG